CTGGGAGGATTGCTTGAGCCTATGAGTTTGAGGTTACAGCGGGCTATGATTGTGCTGTTGCACTCCACCCTGAGTGACAGAGCAAGACTTTGTCTCAAAAAAAAAAAAAATTTTATTTGCCATTTTGCATAAGGATCATGCTATGCATGTTACTTTGCCACTTGCTTTACTTTTTCTTAAATCATAAAAGTCAGTATTCCTTTAAATGGTTCTTTACAAATTTTTATTTGATTTCCCTAAATTACATTTATATACCACCTATCGGAAGCCTATATATTTTAAAACATGAGATAGTACCTGAGAGTTGGATAAAATTGAGGGAAATTACCTATTTTCCAAAGGCAGTATTATTCTAGATTATTTATACGGCATGCCTACCCCCCCCCCCCAAATAATTGGTTCTAAACTCAGAACTTTTTCCATTGTAGTTTTCAGAAAATGTAATCATAAATAATGCAAAAGTAGATATAGATAATACTAGGGTGGAGTGTGGTTGAGTATTTTGAGGTGTGGAGAAGAAGAACTAACTGTAAAAGTCCAGTATGTGTAAAGACAATGTAGTTAAGTGTAGAAATTTCCATACTTTCTTGGTTCATATTGCCCTAGTATCTTAGTAATTTTTTCATAATACTACTTAGCCAAAATTGATACTTAACAGTTCCAAGTATTAATTGGTTAGATCCAAACTTAAGTGAGTCAGTCTGTGTGTCCTCACAAAATAATGCACATACATTGAAAAAATGTCTCTTTAACTTCATTTTTTTTAAAAAGCATAGTTACTAATGATATGTGTGCACCTGTTGGATATTGCACAGCTTCTCAAACCTTCTCAAACCTCAGATCATTAGACACTGCCACCCTCATTTCCTGTATCACATTGATTTTTATGGGAACTTGCTTTTTATCACAGCAGCCCCCAAAACCCCAGCTTTGCAAAAAATAGGATTTCATTGAGAGGAATATAGAATTATCTAATGTTAGTAGTGTAAACTACCTCAATCTAGTTTATGGGATGTCCACAGATGTTGAGTAATCACTGTGTTTCCCCCTCGTTTAAAATGTGTCTGGTGAGTACACTGTGGAACCTTGAGGCTTCTTGGTGCACTGTTTGAGAACCAGAGCTTTACTGTTACAGAACATATCTTTAGGGCCAGTGTTAAGTTATGCTATGTCATTTAGTATATTTGGTCAAAGCCTCAATTTCTTCATCGTTATCAAAGAAAGATGAAAACATCTTCCTCATGCAGTTGTTGAGAGTAAAGCTCTTGCAGTGCCTGAATAATATTTGGTTTACAGACCCCAATAAATTTTAGTTCTGTTGATGGTTATGAATCAAGGAGTTAAATTTGTATAGAGGAAAAATTGGTTTAAGGAATAAACTAATGGTGAGTACAGTGAATATTCTTGAATGGAAGTAATCATAGACTTCATGTTTTCATGTATAGGTGAAAATTTGATTTGTTCTTTCAGCTTGGCTGCTTTTTAAACTATATGTAAATGAAATAACTACAGGGAGTGCCAGGATAAAGTGATCTACAAAATTTGAATATTGATAGTTTGCTTATCAGATATTAATTTTATAACCTTGGCAATGATAGACATTCTGTTCACAACCTATATGCTGTGTTAAGACTTGGTTCTGGACACTTCTTTGTAACCATATATAACATTTAGCTTCGAAACTAACAGCATCAAATTATTTTCTGTTTAAATGTAAGTACCCTAGCTGGGCACAGTGGCATGCACCTGTAGTCCCAACTACTTGGGAGGCTGAGGCGAGGGAGGATCGCTTAAGCCCATGAGTTTGAGTCCAGCATGGGCAACGTAGTGAGATCCTGTTTCTAAAAATAAATTAAATAAAATAAGGGAGAAAATTTTAAGTATTCTTATTTATGGCAAGGGCACTAGCTTCTTTGACCTATTACTATCTATTAGTACTCTAATTCATGAGAGTATTACCTCTGTGCTATTAAAGTAAAACAAATAGGTACTGAAATAATCAATTTTTTAATTTTAATTTTTTGGAAACAAAGTCTTGCGCTGTCACCCAGGCTGGAGTGAGTGCATTGGCACGATCATAGCTCACTGCAGCCTCAAACTCCTGGACTCAGCCAGCTCTCCTGCCTCAGCCTCCCGAGTGGCTAGGACTATAGCCATGCACCACCACGCCTAGCTGATTTTTAAAAAACTTTTTTTTTTTAATAGAGACAGGATCTCACTGTGTTGTCCAGGCTGGTCTTGACCCCCTGGCCTTGAGCAGTCCACCTGCCCAGGCCTCCTAAAGTGCTAGGATTACAGGCATAAGGAGCCACTGTGCCTGGCCTGAAATAATCACTTTTAAAATGTCAGGCTAATTACTTCAGTTGTTCAAGATGGATTTTTTTTTCTTTTCTTTTTTTGTATTTCAGCGTATTATGTTGCCCTTGCCCCCCACTCCC